TTGCGTTTTGTTCAACGGTTTCTGCGCCGCCTTTGTCGGCATGGTTTCTGATAAGCTCCCTTTTTGGCAAGCCTGTCGCCCTCCTCGTTGCCCGCGACGCCGGGGTGCCCCGGAGCCCAGTACAGATGTACGTCACTATTGGTGTGTAGCAAATTCAGAGCTGCCCTGGAATCCGCCATAGTTGTAGAGAAAGTACTGTGGCTTAGTAGCGCCTTTATGGCAGCCTGACTCTCTCTATAGAGATTCACTTGCTTATTTGTTGTGCCCTCCTTATGGCCTATACCTCCGCCTGGAAAATGCTGCAATACTTTGGCAGCTTATAAGATTTGTTGAGGCCGAGCCCCGATCTGAGATCCGTCTGTATAGACAATTAACGAGCCAGCACTCCTCATGCCCTCACTCTAGCCTTCGACCTCTATGATGTCTTCGAAGTTTGTTCCAAAGTGCGGATCCGGTATGACATAGTCAATCCTACTACTGTGACCGTAAGACCCGCATACAAACTGACCCGTAGCATAAAGCCTGGCGGCTGTTTTTGACGCTATATTCTTGGCCGATAGGTCCACCGGCAAGAGACTACTATGGAGTATATTTCCGAGGTACATGGTGGTCTGCTTCACCTGAAGGGTCACTCCATCCAGCTTAGGCTTGGACCAGTCCGAAGTGCCAGATCTGTCTTTTCTGCGTTGATACTAAGCCCTACTTCGATTGCCCAAAGATGTATCACCCGTAGTATGACAAGCCTCTTCATTTGACACCTCATTTCTTGTAATCTAACGAACAGCCCAGATTTTTTAATTTTTCCCACAGGTTGCAACCCTCTTCGAAAAATAAAACTTTACTGCAAAGCTGAAGGCCATGCCTTTTCATTTGACGCCTAATTTTTTTTTTATAGTGAATGAACTGTGCAAATCTAATGTCATTAACAAAAAATGCCCGCGCGTATTATACATATGTAAATAATTTTTAAATATATGGCAACCCCACTCAAACAAAAAATAAAAACTTATTGCACATGCAGAGACCATCTCCTTTCTCTTGGTAGCTCAGTTTTTAGTCCAACAAACGGTGAAGGTCTTATAATTTTTAAAAAGCGGCAGCCCTACTCAAAAAAGAATACATTATTGAACATCTAAAAGCCGAGCCCTTTTATTTGACACCTTATTTCTTGTAATCCAACAAACAGTGCGGATCTTATAATTTTTTAGACAGGTGGCAACCCTATAAGGATTTAAAGTACTAAAGATCATACTTAAATAATTTTGTCTAAATCCGCTCAGTAGTTTTTGAGAAATATCTCGACTCTCCTTTATACTATGTTTGGAGATAGTAATTTTTAATTTGGTGGCAACCCTATTCAAAAAATTAAAGCTTTCGAACATGCGAAGGCCATGCCCTTTAATTTGGTATCTCATTTATTAATCCAACGAACGTCGAAATTCTTATAACTTCTTAAAAGGTGGCAACCCTACTCAGAAAAATAATACATTATTGCACATGTAGATACTAAGTCTTTTCGTTTGAGAGTGGCGGTGCAGAACCGTTGCCTACGCTTATTATGATTGAATATAGTAATTTTATTAACAGGTGGCAACCCTATTCAGAAAAATAATACATTAGTGATTTTCTAGAGACCAATCTCTTTCATCAAACACCTCAGCTTTTGTAAATTCAAAATTAAAAGGTCACTCTCCTATCGATACAGAGAACATAAGAGAAAATCTCGTCAAAATCCGTTCAGTAGTTTTCGAGATTACCGCGTGCAAAGAATCTCGACTTTCCTTTATACTATAGGGCTATTCGCAATCCGGTGCAAATGGCCTAGCATCATTGCATTGCAAATTTGTATTGCAAATTATTTGCAATACACAAACAAAATACACGCATTTGCATTTGTCATGGCTTGACAAATTTGCAATACCGAAAATCCATAGCATAAAAATGCTATGCATTGCAACTCTGGTTGACATTTCTATCAGTTGATTAAAAAAGTTTTACCATGACAGTTTATTAAAGGTCGCTCACAATCCATGGCATATTTCTGCAATTGCATAAATTTGTCAGCTCTTATGCACCGAATCGCGAATAGCCCTTATGTATAGGAGATAGATATAGATTAAAGATGCAAACTTTACGCATCCACAAAGGCTTAGTTAAACACAATGCATGTAAGTGTATAGGTATGTAGGTATATGGATATGTACATTTGTATCTTTTAAATTGTGTCAATGGACTTAATCGTTTTTTTTTTTGTTTTTTGTTAATATCAACAAAGGTATAACAATTTACTTTTGGCTACATCTCCCCTTATTTCGACTCCTTTCATCCATGTCCACATACGTAAATATAAATGGATGCTTCGGAAATGATTACAAACAAATTTTCAAGACAATGAACAATCAACAAGATTCTCTGTGGCATAATAATTTGTGGCTGGCATTGGAGAAATGAAAGAAATTGTGCTATTAGGGGAATAGCCCAAATGGCCATTATGCATTTGGGTCTGCATTTGGACCAAACAACAGCAATACGGACAACGGACCGCAACAGTTTCCACACATTTGCACATTAAGTGCATAACTCGTACAAGTGTTTAAAGCAAAAAGACATTGTTTTGGGCTTTAGTCGATGGACATTAAAGACGACGCCCCAACTCAGCAATTAGTCGTCAATGCATTCACCGCCTGGACAGTGGATAATCACGAAAGTACTTTTTTCCTTTGCTTTTATTTGCGACTTCGAGTTCGATTTGGCTCACCATTATGGCCGGCTTTTGAGACTTTGTGTTGAAATAAACAAATTTGTATGCTCTCCCCCGGGGTGAGTAAATATGTAGGTACATATTTAGTCCATACATACTTTGCACAGTGAAAGCGCTACCCACTCATTGCACACTGCACTGCGTGTGGAGTTGTTGGACACGCGAAAAAGCGAGAGTAAATCAACTGTATCAACCCTTGAGCATGCGTCCACAATTGCCGCTGATAAGCCTCCAGGCGACACGTTGATATGCACTTACATACACATCTACTTTAGTGTATGGTCTGTATGTATGTATGTAGTAACGTGCTCATACGCATTATTGTTGTACTTGTACGGTTAACATTGGTTTCATCTACTACTAACTCAAATAAGTATCAAAACAAAAACAAATTACTAAAGAAAACCTTAACCATATTTGCAAAATTTAGAGTTGCCATGCGATTAGATTTTTATTCCATAAATTTCAGAAAGAGTGTCAACCACGATAATTCTGAGTTGCGTTGTATTGGATTGGTTTCGCGAATGGAAAAGACAAACTCGGCTTTCCACTCAGACACACTAGTGGCATATTGTAAATGATGCCCAGAGAAGCTACAAATGGTTAAAAAAATTCGCTTAGACTTTGCGAGCCGATACTTCTCTGCAAAAATTCCAGGCTCTTTAAAGAATCTGAGTCAAGGGAAAGAAATTTCTACATTCTCAATACAAAAAAAAAAACGTATTTCAATTTGTGGTGTGCGTCTTTATGTTGTGGCAGTTCGCACCTCTAACCATTCGTGTTTTAATATCGACATGCATAGTCTGTTGGGACCAATGGCTTTGAAGGGCTTTGCCTTCCCGATAGCCACCTGAACTTCAATGCTGATGAAAGTAAAAGCTCTCTGGTCACTCGTCGTAGGGCGTTATCCATCGCCTTGGTTTTTTTCTTCTTGGACCTATATACAGATTTAGCAAATCCAACAGAACATTAAGAGAAGCTAACGATGTTGTAACCAAGGCGCTCCTAATGCCTGTTCGCACACTCCTTTCCAGTCCGGTTAGCATTAAAATCGTGGATTTGACCATGGCTTTACGTCGTCGTACTACAACAGGGAATTTAACATTAAGTACCACAGCCGGCTTCAGAGCTTAAGTCTTCCGCAGGATTCTCCAAACTATTCGATCGGGCTATGACCTGCCAGAACTTATACCGGAAAGTGAAAGCTATGGCCAGGGCCGTAGAGAGAAAATGCTGACCCCCTAGCCAGGCTGTGGCTGTGTAAGTATAAGGAGCTGCATTGATCGCTTCCCACCGACGCTGGGGCAGAAGTATCTTGCATTTGCGAATGCCCCACTTTTCCCCACAATGTTCACCTAAGGTTCGCTTGGCTTAGAGTGAATCACAGGTGGTCTGTGACGCTTGTTTTAAGGGTACCCTTTCACGCTAACTCGTCAGCTGTGCAGTATCTCCCACACACACTTTTCGGCAGGCTCAAACCCATCTTTCAAATCGTTCATCCCTCGAGGGAAAGTATATAGAGGAAAAGTGATTGTTAGTACATAAATTTCAGAGATGTAGTCAGGGACTAGATCGTAAACTTCGAGAATTTTAAAGTGTCCAGACGCTGAGCTTGCTAGGTTGCCCTGAGCCCGTTTGTAGCCCATACATTGGTAGTTTTGTTATGTTCAGTAAGATGTTAAGTACCGATTGGTTCGCAATGCACCAAAAATACCAATGAAATTAGTCCGTTGTAGACTCGCTTGTAAACTAACTAATTCAGCTATCTCTAGCGACCGCAACAACGTGAGGACTCCATTAAACATAGTAGGCTTAACTGTGGTTATGTTAGTGTCATTGAGCCTAGAAATCATCTTGAACGAAGTGTACCATCTGTTACCAGTATCTCTTCTACAGCTGTATATGGCAACTGATGCCTTCCTCGATCTTTCTTCAATGTAACATTTCCACGATAGCTCCCTTTTTAAGGCGATTTTCGATATTCGTTTACATCAAAATTGTAGCCTTAATTTTCTTGCCGTAAAATACATTTAAAAGATAGTCTAACGAATCAGCACATTTCAAACCATCTGGCAACCCTTGAAACGTAGAAAACATAAAAATCAAACTTTCATATTTTTACTGCAGACCACGAGTCAACATTTGTATATGTAAATATGTATATTTAACACACACACATATACATATATGTACATGTACACACTCTCTTGGCCGGCAACTGTTTTCAGGCAAATCCCTTTGATCGCGGCGCAACAAGCATTAGTGCCGCTCGACAAAGTCATCCTTCCGATTGGTAGTCGCTCGCAAACTCGCTTCGCCGCTACAGCATTGGGTGGGTTGTGTAAGGGTGGCGCGACTATGATAACCGGTATTGTCAGCGACATGCCACACACACGCACAGTATGGACACACTAAGTGCTGCGCGAACATTATTACTGTAGTTATTGTTGTAAGCTAGAGACCAACCCCCTGCGGTAATCAGCAGGATTTGAGATGGCGCCGTCACGACCGCCACCAATACGCAGAGGGTTGTACTGCTGAGATGGTTCATGAGCGCGCACCCGCTACAATATATATTCGAAGAGTTGTTGTGATGGTCGAATGAATATAAAACTAATGAGTACCCTTCGATGTGTGTTTAGTTGGTAAAGAAGCGCGCTACGGGAAACAACGCAATAGAAAAACGAAAGATCACACAAAAACATAACAAAATATCGATATTCGCGTGCTAAAAATGCCTACTATGGAAAGTGAAACGTAAAGCACCGTTACTGGGTAGTTAAGTGAATAAGTATTGCGTGGCGCGCCGTGCTAGCGACAAGTGTCCAAACAAAGACTGTTGCAACAAAAAAAAAAAGTGTAAAACAGCAGAATGTCTTCGTGTTATAGCGGCTTCGATGATCGCTCTTTCGAATTTGAAGACTCTTCATACGACAGTGGTTACGAGAAAAGCTTCGAAACAGACTGCAATGTAACGCCGCGTAAACTTTTCTTCGATAATGGCGCCGATTGCTATGCCGCCACCGCCGATTCCCCACTTGCGGCCAGCTGTTACAATACCAACGGCGTTGGAGCTCCAGTAGCCTCATTTTCAGCGCTACTCGATACGAGCAGTAATCACAGCACACGCAGTGCGCGCACACTAGTCGAACATGTGATCAGCAAAGCGCCACCGCTGACGGAATCCGAATTCGCGCCCAAGCTAACATCAACGCCGACAAAGAATGCCGGTGGCGGCGCGGCCGATGGCAATGGTGATCAACCAACTGAACCGCGCCCCAAGCGCAAATATGCCGTCGGCAAAAATCGTGTAACGCGTTCGCGCAGCCCCACACAAGTGGTGCGCATCAGAAAGTTTCGACGCATGAAAGCCAACGATCGTGAACGCAATCGCATGCATATGTTGAACGATGCGTTGGAGCGGCTGCGCGTCACGCTGCCCTCACTGCCAGAGGAGACAAAGCTCACGAAGATCGAGATACTACGCTTCGCGCACAATTACATATTCGCGCTCGAGCAGGTGCTGGAGAGTGGAGGCACAATTAATTTGGACCTGGAAAAGTTGCAGAATTTCACGCTCAGCGGCGAACGCATTACCAAGGAATTATTCGATGCGATTTTCGTCAATCCTCAACCGTACACAAGCATCTTTAGCATGGGCTGCAGCAGCAGCTTTGCTGGACGCGTGCCATATCCGCAACAGGCAACGACGATGATGCCCACCGCAGGACACGCCTTCCTCGAGCAACAACAGCTGCTGCAACGCGGCCGTCCGCCGCAAGGTTATGCCTACGGCAGTGATGTGCGCCCCTATAATGTGCAGCATGAAACGCATAATCCGGCAATGCATCCACATTTTTCGCAGGAGAAGTATGAATTGTATAGGAGTACCTTCGAAGCAGCAGCCAATATGCGACCCACATCTGCCGCCATCTGTGCGGAGGAGGCGAAACAAGCGCACATCGTAGCGGCGGATTGCCAAACGCAGATGGCTTACAACCAGCGACCAACGAATACCACGAACTGCTACCTGCCGGAGGATCAGTTGACGGCGGTCAATGCAGCAGCACCACCCATGGTGCCTCAGCGCACGGCAAGAGTGCACGCGCAGGCGTCTATGTTGCATCAGAATAGTAGTTTCTACACACAAACACCGCCTTGGATGGATTATACCGAGGTGATGGCGACGAACAGCGGCAACCACAGCGGTTTCGAGCAGTATACGAGCGTATAGCAGTGGCTGCTAGGAGCGCGTGTAGTGTGCATTAAAACCGGGAGTATTCGGGTAGCTTAAGTGAGTGAGTTGAAAGTCATAGGTTTTTAGTTAGGTATCAAGCAAGCTATAGGTGCACTGATGGTGATATTTCGATTGATTTTGGGTTGTATGGATGATTTTGGGATAGAGTACCTAGCCACAGCGCTGCGGTGGCGTTGGATTCTGGAAGTCGCTAAGTTCGATTTCGAATGCTAAGAATTTTTTATTAGATTCCGATGGGACATAAATCTTCTCTCTATCTCCAATTTCAAGTTACACCTCTTAAGCAATAGGCATACTTTTATGATCTCCTGCTATTTATTTTGAAACTCTTGGCGGACCAGTTTTAGCGTAGCGATTTCTAAAATTGTGCTTTGGAAAATCAAAGTGGAAACGCTGACGAGGATCATGCATACAACACCGGAATCGATGAATTACAAAAAATGTTTTACAGACCGTAGCGAATATCACTTTTATAAAAGAGAAACTCTTATTGAAGCGATAAATTTTTAGTTAAATTTTATTCGGTCAGATTACACTGTCTTTCCGATCATACATGATCGTTCTTTTTTACCCTTTTCGAAAAATGTTTAGTCATATTTTTAAGTTTATTTTGTTTGGCCGAAATATTAGTTATTATTGATTTTACACTTTTCATTAATGTTTCATAGATTTTCGTTGACTTCTGATTTTATTAAGTTTAATAGATATTTCAGAATTAATATTTTCTTTTTGACTTTGTTGTTATATTTGGATTGAATTTGTTCGGAATTGACTGCGTTTTTTATGATCGTTTTGTGTTTTTTAACCTTAAAATCATTATTTTTTTAGCATTTGTAAAAAATGAAGTTAATCGTGATCATTCGAGGTTATTCGAGACTTTCTCGAAATTTTCTCGAGGTATTTTTTTTTTTAGATACTTTTTTGGAATTTTTCGGAAATTTTATAGTTTAACGGTATATTCGAGAATTTCGCAGCAATATTTCTGAATATTTCGAGACTTTTTGTATTTTATTAGAGATCTTTGAGAGTTATACGATTCCGATCTAGCGGTAAACTTTAAGATTTCCTTGTGATTATTCAGATCTTTTTCGGTATAATTCGGTATTTTTCATGACTTATCGTATTTTATTTGTTATGTTAGGCGGGTATTTTCAGGTTTAACGGCATATTTCCGTGATTTGTCAGTATTTTTATGGATATACCGGCATTTCTTGCCACTTTTCCTTACTCTTTAGCGTCCTTTGTGAAGTTTGCTGGAATTTTGTAGTTCAACGGTATATTTGTGACATTTATTTGGGATTTTTTCAAAAACATTTCGGAGTCCTCGGATATTTTCCGCATTTTATAAGGGGCCTTTGGGTGTTTCTCAAGAATTTCAATGGTATATATATTTTAGAAATTTTCTCGGTGTTTTAAGTTTTTTGATATTAGAGATCTTTGGAAATTTCAATTGAAAGTTCATGTTCAGCAATATATTTTCGAGATTTCCTCTTAGCGATCTTTTGGGATCTAATTAGCAGTCTTAGGTGATTATACTGGAACTTTCCAGTTCAATTATGTATTTTTATTTTTATTTTTGAGATTTTTAATATTTGTTTCGGGATCTATCGGGATTATTGGTATCTTTTCGTATTTAAGTAAGAATTTTCGAGCTTTTCTCGGGGTCATTCGGTATTTTTCAAGATTTTTTCGGGATATTTCTTGTTTTTTTGTTACCGCTAGTATTTATTAGTTATTTTTGGCGCAAACTTTCTGATTCAACGTTATACTTTAGAGAATTTCAACCATATATTTAAATATTAAAAACACTTACCTAAAAAATTAAAAGAAAAAATTATAGATTTTATTTAAATGCAAACAAAAAAAGTTCGCCGTACACCTGCGAGTCTAGAGTATTTTTGCAAGTAAGTCAATTACGATTTTTTTTTTATCCTTTTACATTTTTCGGTGACACCTATGTTCATTCCGCAATAAAAAAAATTTAAAATAGTTCTACTGGAATAATTAAAATACTTCCTAAGCACAAGTTTAATGTTTTTTGGAGAGCCTTAATTTACTGCCATTAGGGTGTTACGTTAGGGTGATAAGAACTCCTCGGAAATCGATATATCATACTTAAAATCCGACTGTCAATGCCGGAAACATTACGAAAAATGTAAAAAGGCGACCATTAAGTTTGGCGAAAAAAAAGTTTATTTTTTCGAAATTAGGTTAGTTAGAAATTGCCTTGAAAAACAACAATACTCTTTTTATACTCGGAGATGTACGGCGAAATTTTTTTCTGATACGGGCTTATGTACATATGTAGTTACATATATTCGCTACGGTCTCTAAAAAATCAACATAGCGCTAATATTTTGCCGCTGGTAAAATACTATAGTAAAAACTCTTTTATTTGTTTAAAAAAGAAACATCCAATAATTTTGAAGTGTTTTTTTTCCGCCGTTCGGTTGATAGCTGCTAAAAAATATTTCAAAATTTCTATGGATGAAAATTGTTGCCACTGAATTAAAACATCATTATTGAAGCCTTGTTATGACGAATTTTTTTTTGTAACGATGCTTCATATTTTTCGAAAAAAAATTATTGTTTCTACACTCTTCTCAAAGTATCTGGGTTTGCAGTTCCAAATTGAATGTTACTCAGCGAACTCCAAATCAAAATACTTTGCAAATAAATACTATTTTCATTAATGTAATTCGAAACACTAATCACTTATTAAAATTGCTTTTCTCTGAAGTGATCCTCTGCCGCTCAATGAAATTGTCGATCACTTGAAAGTAAAGCAATTTGGAAATCAAATCACCGTCAAATGTTAACATCAAAACTACATATTTAGTATTTTCGTACATTTACATAATATGCAAAATTTTTTATAAAAGTTAACCATCGATCACAACGCATCAGGTACCTTATTGTATTGTAGTTGTTTACAAGCTTTATGAAATGTGAAGGTTTTGATATTTATCTACAAATGTACCAAAGATTAAATATTGTACGTAAAAATAAATTAGATACGAAAATATATTTTTGTAAGTTAGCAATGTATTTTTTATACCTTTAACAGGAGCTAGTCATTTCCAAAGATGTTAATTAATATGAAGAATATATCTCGAGCGCTAACCGCCAAAATAAAGAAAGCGAAATTTTTTTCAAAATTTTCTTTTTGATGCCGAAATGCATCTTGATGCTCTAGGAGTATTTCTGTATCAAAAAGAAAATTAAAAAAAAAATGTTGCTTACTTTATTTTGGCGGTTAGGGCTCGATATTTATAATCAAGATTATTTGCAGTTGTAACAAAGAAAGTAAGGTGAATTCAGTTAGAGTGAGTTGATACAGGTTGTAATGAAATGTGAACTTATCGTAAGCAATGAACTATCATGAAAATAAAGTGCAAAAGAAAGAAACGATATTTTATTTCAGTATTTTAATTAACTTTCTACGATCTCCACTTATTTAAGCTATGTATGGCTAGATCGCTCTCACCCGCTTCGCTGAGTGTATGAAGTCTTTATGTATGTGTATGAGACTTTAAATTTTTTAAATATCTTCGAAATATTCTCCAACTAAAACTATCTTAAACCTCTCTCAGGTGATACTTTTTCATACCTATGTACATGTAGTTTAGAAATGAAGCCATTTAAAAATCATTTCGATTAATACCCATATTGTAATAATTCATTGAAATGATTGAAAATTATCAAATTCCTTTAATTCAACAAGAATTAGATTTTAAAAACAGGTGGCAACCCTCCTACATGTAGTTTAGAACTAAAACTTATATCAAAAACCTTTCGATTAATACCCATATTGTAGTAATTATTTAAATTCAAAAAAGAGTTTTATTTTTAAACGGGTGGCAACGCCTGTAAAACACCTCAGTAATATTTTTAATGTTCAATCTGAAGGTTTCTTAGCAATCTTTCATTTGACACCCATATATTAATTTTTCAGATAGCTTGTTAATAACTAATTTAAATTTCGAACAGGTGGCATCCCTTTCCAAAATACTTTCAAACTACAACTTTTTCAAGCCTCTTGTCATCCATTCATTTTCAAATAAATAATTCCCTTAATTCAAGTCGAATTTGATTTTTTAAACAGGTGGCAGCCCTACATATATGTATCGGTTTACAGTTTCAGAAGGGTTCACATTGGTTCGTTTATTAACATATTCACGCATAAATCCTCGGTAGGCTGTTCTTGTAACATTGACGACAAGGTATAAACCAAACTTTGGTTCGGTCACTCCTGGAGGATAACCTGGATAACTGTGGATTGCGGTAGATAAAGCAAAATGGGCTATGTGGGCCTGCGGAAGACTTTATGAAAATACATAGGGATTGATCTCAAGGCTGATATTCTGTATGATCGTCCGTTCGATTGATATAAATGTCCTCAACTGCAGCTCTGGAGCATTTCCATATTTTTATTCAGGAAAGAGTAGCTCCGAAGGAGCTGCAACTTCGACTATCTAACAACGGCTTCTTCACCAAGAAGCTTCATGCAGGTATTCTTGAGAAGATAACAGAGTTGGAAATATGCGGAATCTCTGATTCCATGACCAACGAGATCTGATTTGGCAGAAAATTCCAAGTGATTATACCCGATCGCGAATATTGGGGAAATTAGCTCCCTGCACTTGATCCCAGATACGTACACTGGTTCAAAGATGGAGCACAGAGCAGGTGCAGGTATTTTTGGACTTAACACCAAACACCCATGGGAAAATGGCTTAACGGGTTTAGGCTGAAATAATCGCAATTTTAAGCTGCGCAAAATTAAACCTTGGAAAAGGTTTTCGAAAGTCGCCTTTCTAGTTATCAGTTATCTTTGCAGCCAAGCCAATTAGTCATCCGGGCTCTTTCAAACAGGAATATGAAATCCAAGCTGGTTAGAGACTGCTTTGACACACTAAAAATTTTGACAGACAAAAACACGGTGGAATCAAAGGCAATGAGGTGGCCCACAAGTTGGCACGAGAAGGATCGCTAACTGCCTTTTCGGGACCTAAACCATTCTGTGGCTTCAGTTTGTCATTTTCGAGTGCCATAATTACTGAGTGGGTGCACTCTGATTGCAGTAAGTTTTGGGGTACGGCGGAGAGCCTTAGACAGGTCAGGCTCTTCGGCTATCCTTTCAACAGAAAAGATATTATTTTAGAAAATAGAAATGACATCAGGCTACTTTCTGGGTGCGTGACTGGTCACAACCGATTGCGATAGGGACTCTCTCTCTTCAAGAGATACAAAAGATCTTTCAGGTCGCGGTGTCTCTTGTTCTTCTACACCCAAGAACTAACTAATTAAATTTCGTTTTTTTCAACGCAAATCCTTAGCCACCAACCATATCGTCTACCTCCATCATAATAAGTGTATGTACGTGGGCTTGTATGTATGTACGCTAGAAGTCATTAAACCAGCAAAAGCTGCTCTTTCACTTCTATTCGTCCGCAACAATAACAATAAAATAGGCAGCAACAACAACCACAAGACCCAATTGCAGATTTTGGCGATGCAAGCAAATATACTAAGTCAAATTCAAATAAATAATAATAACGAGCAGTTCGAGTAACGAGGCACATTTTGGACCACATACACGTACGCGTAAAAACCGCGGCTCCTTTTTGCCAGCGCGGTAATACTTACAAACATGCAAACATACATACATACTTGCACTCACATACTGCATGTGCCACTACATACAATTCGTTATGGGGTGAGTAAACCAACCAGCCAGCCAGGGTTGCCACTGCAGAGAAAAATATTTAACATCCAATTGGAAAAAATCTACCAAATCTGGAAAATATCTACCAACAAGTTTTTTTTTAATTATTTTAATAAAAACTATAGTTTAGTTATATTTTTTAGTTTTTTCAATAAAAATTAAAATTGTTTATTTGAGATCATATTAATAGCATCTTCTCGGTTTTCTTAAACCAAAAGCGAAAGTGATGAAACCAAAGGCAACAACGAAACTTCATCATTTAAAAAACCTTCAACTAGAGTTATTACAAGCTAATACAGTGACTCAAAAAAGCGCTTGGTATTTTTTTTTTTTAGTATTCACAATGTTTTTTCAAGTAAATTTTTTTTTTGCTTTTTTTTGTATAAGAATATGGTTTGCGCTTTAGCAAAATCCATAAAAATCAAGGACAGAAGCTATTTAAAATATTGAGAAAAATTCAAAAACATTTCGTTTAAAATTCGAATTTTTTACTCTGAAATTTTTAGAATAATTTTCGGCGTGTAGTTTTCTAGCCCATAGAATTTTAGTATAACAATGTGCATCTCAAAATTCCCGTTGATTAAAAAAAATATATATTTTCCTTCGGCCGAAAATTAATGCAATAAAGAAGTCTACACTTTTGGAAATAAATTTATAATATAAAGATATCTACGAAAAATAAAGTGGAAACTAAAATTTCATTTGTTTTTCAAGCAAAATTTTTTAACAAAAATCTATTAAAATGAGAGAAAATTCACCTTTTTACCAACGCGAGTTTTTCCACCAATTTTGGTAATAATTTACCAAAGTGGCAACCCTGCAGCCAGCAGCAATGAGTTAGTGATTGAGCGAGTGTGTGTGACTGCCGGGAAACAATAGGAAACTTTACGATTGCACGTCACCTGCCAGACACAAAAGCCGAAAGCCGGGCGCTGAATTACAGATTTGCCCTAAACATCAGACAAAACACTACTGCACACATAAACACACAAACGAACACACGCACAAATATATAGTAAGCGACTAGTACTTAGCGCACCCGTCAGCGGTGCTGCGATAAAGTGAAAGAATGAAAGAAAGGAAAATCATGAAACATGAGCAGTGGACCCGAAGGACATGAATGGCACTCAAATTATATAGTTGACTGCATCTACAAGAGAGTTGAGCCGCTGAGCTCAGCTGACAATGAGTTGAGAGGTAAGTTGAGATGGTAAAATTTTGAGGATTTTAAAATTTTGGCGAAAAAAAATGCAGCCGTTCATTGATTGGTAGAAGCGGAGGGGAATATTTTTTGCGTAAGTCGAACGGACATATGCCTGTTGAATTTTTTTTTTTAACATCTTCGGTTTCGGAAGGGAAACATTCTTAGAAAGTTCTTACGACGGACGGAGCAACAAACAGCTTTATTGAAGACTTTTTCGGGACCATTCAACGAATAGTTCGGGATCATTTCACGCTTGCAGCGGAGTTAACCCACCTCCGTAACGGTTCATCTTCGTGGATGACCAACATTATCTGCTTAGAATGGTCGAAATGCAAATACGAAAAATATCAGCATCATTATTTAAAAAAAAAAGGGATAAATAAAACTGTAAAAATTTAAATATATGTTTGGGCTTTACCCTCGATGACAAGCCTTAACATAGCTGAATAAATCTATACATAAAAATGCAGGACTTAGCCAAGAGCTGGACTGTCAAACCTAAGTCCTACAATATAATTGTGGTACAATGATAAAAACTCCAACCAACTTCTACGATTTTATAGCAAAACTGATCATATAAGGAAGTGCAACGGATCTTAAGAGGAAACTACGTGTCAGCTTTTTGGTGGTGTCTTTTCTGCCAAGCCAAGCAGCCATCTGAGCTCTTTCAAACAGGAATATGAAATCCAAGCTGGTTAGAGACTGCTTTGACACACAACAAATTTTGACAGACAAAAACACGGTAACACTGTGTTGGGTACCAGGCCATTGTGGAATCAAAGGCAATGAAGTGGCCCATGAGTTAGAACGAGAAGGATTGGTAACTGCCTTTTTGGGACCTAAGCCATTCTAAGAAAGATCTATCCAAAAGCAAGTAATAATAGGCAGAAAGACGTGAGTGCGAGAAGCTTTAATTTTGGCAGCATAACCTGCAGTGCGACATTTCAATCACAAAATAAACCAGCAATCAAGTGGTTTAAAGACCGGAGCTCCTCTGTTGGAAGAAAATGCGAGCCTGATAACGTGCCAGACCAGAGTAGTAGTAGTAGTAGTAGTATCCCTGCAAAAAGTGGGACGAGGTTAAGTACTAGTACAGGACCACGCTACCTTGTAACCAACACTAGTAACCAAAATGGTCCAAATATATGGAGAGAAAATGGTAACATTAACATTGCGATGTCATTGGACCTGACCACCTCTGGTCCAACGCTGCATA